TTTTCATTTGCATGGGAAATCTTTTTCCATCCCTTCACTCTCATCCTATGTGAGTCTTTTGTTCTAAGGTGGGTCTCTTGTAGACAGGATATAATTGGGTCATGTTTTTGTTTCCATTCAATTACCCTGTTTTGATTGGAGCATTTAAGCCATTTACACTTAAGATTATTACTGATAAGTACTTATTTATTGCCATTTTCATTCTGTATGCCTGTTTCTTTCTCTATTCTCATTACAGTAGTCCCTTTAGCATTTCTTGCAGTGCTGGTTTGGTGGTGAAAAACTCCTTTAGCCGTTTTTTTTTAAATCTGGGAAACTCTTTATTTTACCACTTATCCTTGCTTTTCATTACCTTGAATACTTCATGCCATTCCCTTCTGGCCTGTAGAGTTTTTGTTGAGAAATCAGTTCACAGCCTTATGGGAGTTCCTTTGTAGGTAACAAATTGTTTTTCTCTTGCTGCCTTTAAGATTCTCTTTGTCATTAATTTTTGGCATTTTAATTATGATGTGTCTGGGTGTGGGCTTTTTGGGGTACTTTCTGCTTGGGACTCTCTGTGCCTCCTGTACTTTGTGCCGAGCCAGCTCAGCTAAGGGTTTGCAAGCCTGAGGGAGGGCGGTGAAGGATGAAGAAAAGACAAAGAGAATAAGCTGGGCCTAGGTCAGCGGTTCTCAACCTGTGGGTCACGACGCCTTTGGCGGTCGAACGACCCTTTCACAGGGGTCGCCTAAGACCATCCTGCATATCAGATATTTACATTAGGATTTATAACAGTAGCAACATTAAAATTGCCAAGGCATTTTTGCTGATTTTACAGCAGTTTAGGAAAAAAATTAGGAAAATTAGGCAGATAAATGCCAGTGGTCAATTTTAGAGCTACGAACATTCAGCATCATAAGTAATCTGCACTTAGGTGCCATCTGTCAATAAAGAGTGAACTACTAGCATCTAATGGTGACACTGCAGGAGGAGCACCATAGCGCTCCCGGCACTTTTGGGGAAAGACAGGAGGAGCACGATTGTGCTCCCCGGCACACTAGAGGTTAACCCTATAGCGGCTTCCTACATCTCACCCTTTTATTTTTAAGCTACCATAATGAAAGTAAAACTTAAGCATCAAGAACAACTCTGGCTATTAAACAATAACAAAACAATGCCAATGCAAAACCCAAACTACAGACATGTTAACATTTTAAAACTTAAACATCAAGAATAAAGCTCTGTCTATTAACAAAATAATGCCAGTGCAACACAGCATAA